GGAATTGAGATCAAAAAATCGAAAAAGTGTCGCAGGACTTTCTTGCCAACCTTATAAATTATAAATTAAACTATAATAAAATTACAATTATAAATATTCATTCTTCATCATTACTTACTTCATATGCTATATTTGATACAACATGAAATACGTAGCAATGGAATAAAATAGAGCACGGAGACATAACCGTGAATATGGCGGTATCAGCGAAACCTTAATTACAGGTATTGATATGAAATCGGTGGTCAACAGTCAGAGAAGGCTAATCCTCGTCACCAAGTCGTCCAGAAATAAAATAGAGCATATAGACAAAGTTGAGCATGACAGAATACCACAATATTACGGCGCTTGTACTGGCAATGTCGTCCACAGCTTTACCCGCGCTTGTACCTGGGAGCAGGTGGGGCAAGTTGTTGGTAGTGGGCAGGGTTATACTTCGTGGGCGTGCCGGCATCCCATAATCTTCCGATAGGATTGGCGCCATATGAGCTGGGAACGAGTTGCACATTGTAGCCCTGAAATGCCAAGCTTCAAAGAGTGCTACAATCATCTTGTAAGGCTAAGCGTACCTTACCTGCTTGGTTCTGACCACTGTAGGGTGGTCGAATTTGACGATCCGCTGCGAATAGGCACGAGCTGGCGACATGATAATGAGCTGATCGTTGGAGTAGCCGGTAGGAAGTTTGGGCTGATCCGGTTCCGGTGTGACGGGCTCAGTGGGCTCGTCACCATAGCTGGGCAGCACGTTTTGCGTTGGTTCGATGGCAACGTTGTAAGATGTTGATGACTCCGCAGGGCGGCTCGTAGTGGTGGTTGGGGCGGAGTAAGGCGTTGTAGGCGGTGGCTGGTATGGAGCCTCTTCAGTAGTTGACCTAACCGGAGCTTGTGTAAAAGTAGGCGGTGGCTGGTATGGAGCCTCTTCAGTAGTTTGTCTAATTGGAGCTTGTGTCACACTTTCGGCACCGTATGATGGTGCTGGAGGAGCAGGCGCGTATGTAGTGTCGGTCTCTACGGAGTATTGTGATGGTGGTGACGGTGGAGCTGGAGCTGGTGTAGGTCTGACTCGCGCTGAGTGCTTCTTATGTGCTGGAGAAGGTCTCGCTGGCGCTGATGGTTGACGCGGTTGCGATTTTGGCTTATTTGAAACTTCTTCGTCGTAACCGAGATCTGACGTTTCGTGCTCGATAGCGCTTGGAGGAACGTGACTTGGCGACTCTGAGCGATGAGGTTTGTGAACGTTCACTTGGCAATGAGAACAGGATCCTGAATGAAATTGATAGTTCAACTATTCGTTTTATAGGCAATAGAGTGAGATGAGTGCTGTAAAAGTGGTGAAGTCAAGCCATGGACTGGATATGTCCAGTTAGAAGCAGTGAAAACGATGGCCGGAAAGCGGAGCGATTCTGATGAGGTCATTGGCCGTTATAGGCCGACGTCATACTTTGCGAATCGCTAGCGAATCGAGCGAATCGCTAATCGAATCGCAAAGTATGACGTCAGCCATAGGAGGAATAGAGCTTTGGAACTAGTCCCAGCCACACCCCCAGCGCACTGTGGAGCCCGATATACCAATGACGTGTACTGACGTGATCAGAACCGCTCCGCCCTCCAGTCATCAAGCTCACTGCCTTTAAGTAACTGATTTAGGAAAGTCTGTTGCAATTGTAGAATATGTAAAAAGTGAAACTAAACTCTCCTGACGTGTAAGACCTTTTACAAGAAATTTCTCTAAAAATGTATCCTTGAAAATACTAACCAGGCGGTCCGACGAGACCAGGAGGACCGATAGGGCCAGGTGAGCCGGGTGCGCCCTTGCTGCCTCGTTCACCCTGAATTCCACGAATGCCGCCACTGCCGGCTATACCCGGGTGGCCGTCACTGAAACGATTGTAATTGTTACCTTGAAAACTGAACAGTGGCTAAATTATATGGCATAACTCGCAAATGGGCGTTCGTCATATTGGGATTGTCAATAATCGCTGGGTAGAAACCGGTTTCTTCACAATAATTAAGTAGAACTTGTTGCTTGTAAAAAATAGTCGTTGAAGTTGCAAGCTGACTAGTATTTGGCGTATGAATGGTTGGGGTCGCTCCGATCTATTTGCTTCGCATTTATTAGAAAAACAAGAATCAATATTGCCAAAAAAAGTTATTTGCTCAGGCTATGGTAGCTCTGACAGCCCGGTTGAAGTGGTGGGTTTTGATAGTTTGCGTTGGGAGAACAAAGAGCGGTATACCAACAAGGAAAGACTCCCAAGCTAGGCCAAATAAAGAGGAGATGTATACCATTGAATCTGCCTTTGACCGCTGGATTCTCAAATCTACGCCTGGCAAATCTGCTAACCGATCTTGAAACGAGTTATGGAATCACAACAGCGCCAACGGTAGATGGTCGGACTCAAATCAAACGTCGTAACCAGATCAGTTCCTTTATCGTGTTTAATCTTACTATATTGCGTTCTTCAGAAGTACGGTTAAATGCTATATTTAAAGCCTTTTTGCTAACTTCCTGAATAATGGACACAATAAACACGATAGCGGATCGATCCTAGGTTTTGGCTGTGACTCCCGAGAACTACCGTTGCACCGTATTGCTTCATAGAATCAGAGAATCGATAGCAGATATGGAAGATAGATTTGAGATCAGCTTCCAAAGGGATATCTAGCCATGGCGACATACGAGCTTCTTCTTGTAAGAGCAGCATCTTGGCAAAGATCCAATGCCTCAAACGTAATGTGCTAGGCATGTATTTAGTGGCGTATTTCCCAAACTGTGAACAGTCGCCTGTCCATACACAATGCGGAATTTTCATGGGGATTCAACGAGCATTCAGGTATAAAACCTTTTCCGGATCAAACTACGGCTCGTCTCTCTGAGCAGCGAGCGATCACTGAATTCCAAGTCTTCAGAAGGAAAACAAGGATTAGAGGAAATGTATGAATGGTCGTTTCATACATACAGAAATGATGCCCTTTTCTCTTACGGCTAAGTAAGGTCGTTCATTGGGAGGGGGGAGTTTGAAAGACTCACAGACATTAGAAAAGATTTTGAGAAATAATGAACTGCGATGGCAGAAACATCGGCACACGTGATATAGTACTGTTTGAACTAATTGAAGATTTGAACTATCGATGTGAAATGTGTAAGAAGAATTGATGGATGTTGCATACAATTGATCTAAAATCTTTGTCGTACGTCTTTTACTGGTCGAAGAACGTATTGCCTTTGAGACCCTGGTCTGTTTCAGGAGACCAATCCAGGGAACGGTGCGGCAATATGAAGCCCATGGAGTTGCTCAACCCGTGAATACGCCACGTATCCTACTTCACTTCGGCAATGCAGCTGCAATTTGGTTTATACAACGGCTCGGCCAACCGACGTACAGGTCAGTGTTTTTCCACCCAGACAAGCAAATTTATGAGTTAACAACCCCAGGGAGATTGAAGGCCCTGGTTGCCTGTAATTAGACTTCTGAACTGAATGTACGAGTGAGTGGCATCAGTTGCCCAGCTCACGTCATTCGAGCCCGCCTTGGATAATAAAAAAAGGATAAAGCATTTGCCGTTGATCAATCCCTTTTTGGGATGCGGCACGCATTCTACTTCCATTTGTACATTCGCAGTGGCGTTTGAATGCGATGTGGCCTATACAATGACTTGCGGGGGCCAGCCGATGTACAAGTCAGTGTTTTATCCTCCCAGACAAGTCTGGTACCAATTAACCGACCCCGGAGGGATGGAAGGCTTGGTTGGCCCGGGCGACTCACGACCCAGGATTTGATCCCCGGGTGAGCGTGCCGCTTGCCACTACACTAACAATCACCTGTCTTGAGAATGGAGACGTTATGTTGACTTATACCAATTTCCAAAAATCACTAATATTTCGTTACAGTAATGACTGAGAATTAACAAAGAAGTATACTGAGAAAATTATGCCTCAAATTCAGTCCGGTTCACGTCTATCTTTACATTGCTATCTCAGTCGTCAGAAAATATTAAGAAAATATAGTTGTAGGGCGTACGAAGGACCAGTCATTGGTCCAATTTTATTGGTATACCATCTGGTAGATGAACTTGACCTCCTCACACACATAAGCGAACAAATTCTCGAGTGAAACCCGTCCTCCGCTTCCGCCGAGGCTCAAGTCAAGAGATCACAATTATTACAGTCAGATTTTTTGCTGAATATCGTCTTAACATAGCCGACACAGAAATGATTGTTCATCCGCTGAGGACTTTTCAGATATCCTTCGGAAGTCGGCATAGAATAGTAAAGGGCTGGGGGAGAAATCACGCCATGAATGAGACGACTGCAAAAAGCTGTCCTTCCAGTCAGAAGAGAAAGAGAGAGTGTAAAGTGGATGGGGAGCCTGTTGCGAATCACAGTCATGTTTATCGATACATCATTGCCATAGAAAGTGAACAACATTGCGAGATCGATTGCACCTATTTAAAATGAAATGTTCGATTTAGCCTTTCCGGGAAGAGAACTGGCTCTAACTGAAGAGTGGGCGAGGTCCGGGCGTGTCGGAGGTGATGAGATAGGGAATTGGGTGTGGGAGAAATTAAGCGCGATTAAGGCCGCAATCGATTCGAAAGTGCGAGTGACCGAACGTTTTTAGACATGGCTCGATTTCTTGTCTCCTTAAGAACATTCAACCAGAACACAACCTGGTAAAACATGTCGCTAACTTGTAAAACCTAACAGCTAGCCCACAGTTCAACTGTTGCGGCGCAAGAAAAATGGGCACATAGCAGCTTGAAGACCCCAAGAAGGTCAACAAGGTTTACGACGCAGTAGTATTGCGCCTGTAGGTGATTGTTTCAGTTCCTCTGAAATACGAATATGACTTTCGTGTTTGACGTGGCGGCCGTTTTGGTGCTACTTTGCGCCTCTTTATTTTCCACCAAATCGCATAAAAAATCCCCATGTGGGGGTATTTAATGCTTGTTTACGAAAATGACGCCCGCTTTTCAATATTGACAATTAGCGTTTGGGTTGTAACAGAGCAATAGTGCTGGAAGTTCAATGAGGGATGTAATACTATGTTGATCAAAGCTATGGCTCGAATGCACAAAGGTGGTTGACGAGTGCTGTCGCGCGCGTACGCGTGCTTGCTAGTTGTCGACATGTGAAAGTCCGATATCACTGGAGAGTCGGCAGTACTGGAGCTTATACGAATCTGAACTAACTGAGAAAAATACGGCACTCCTCCCTGTTCTACCACTGTACAAGTTCAAAAATTCAAAAATCGTCTTTACATGAGAAATGGCGTCGATTTCTTTAAAAACGTCAATTTTTGCATTTTCTTTTTTTCTCCTTCTATCCTTTTTCTCTTCTTTTCCAGAATCCGTATACGTAGAATGTACTTTGTCTCAAAAATCACTAAAGACAGAATTTACAATGAAAAAAACAACCCATTTCAAACTAACCTAGGGATGGTGAGTGATACACGAAAGAAGAAAGAACTATGAGAAACGGCCCAGAACCCGAGAAATGGGACCCCTTCCTTGCCCGTTGATTTGAGCATTGATGCGGGTATGCAATCGTTATGCCATCTTCGTGCTAATACTTCTCGTGTTTTATTCACCTCGCCACGTATGAAACACGCCGAGACCGCTATGATTAGATTGTCGGTGGCGTACCCGCAACGTCGCCAAAGAGTGGCCATGCTTAAATCGCCGAGGCCAATCTTTCGCTGCGCGTTGGTCAAGCACCCTCAAATAGGTCCGCCTGTCTCTCTACTAGGCAATTTTCTCCCTCTTTCACCTTCGGTCTTGTCGTGGAATTCTTCTTCAACGCATCTACGATCCCCTTCTCCGTTCCCTCCCTTGTCGTTTGTATTTCCAATCCGTGATTGATTTGCCAATACCGACTAACTCAGCTCATTTTGCTACACTATGTTTCAATTAGCATAACGCTGCGGCAAAAATACCATCGAAACTAGGGAGCATGAAGGCCCCCTCCTTGGTGCTTCAGTAAGGACGATTGTATCCCAGAAGGGACGATTGATCCCGATGTGACTAGTACGTACGCTTTCTGAGCCTAGCATTGTTTTGGCGTGGATTAACTACGAGGCCTCATAAAAAAAAAACAAAAAGAAATCGTAGAGCTAGCTAGCGTCAGGATAATCATCCTTAATTTACTGAGAGTGGGTCTATTTACAGGATTTCGATGGGGAACGTGAAATTGAAATGTTTGCCCAACGTCCGCGGCTGACACCTTTCATGTCGCGTTTGCCTAAATTAAACTTGAGACAGTGTCCTAAACATTTTCGATAATCAGTTCAACTACCGCCCAAGAAACAGTATGTCTATGTGTACCAAAAGTTCAAAAACTTTAGTGGAGACTAGAGAAAAGTGCAAATTTGAGTGCTCGAGAGAATGGAAATATTTCATCCAAAACGGATGACTAAAATCCTCAAATAATGACGAACGCCAGCGAAACGGGTTCCACTGGCCGAATACCTCGTAAAACCGAAAAAGGGAGACGATTCAGGATAGATCTGGTAGGCAGACTTGTGAATGATGGGTGCATGCAGTGAAAACCGTCGCAGCATACCAGGCCGGTTACCCTGAACCTTCACCGGTTCCTAGACTGAGGGATGCTTTTTCCAAAAGAGCATACCGCCTCAGCCGGCGCCATTCCGACTACGAGTTCAGCGGACTTTGTTTGGTATGGAACCCCTTTTTAGCCCATAAAAGACAAGAAATTGCCATCGTTTGAGCGGCGGCGAAGTAGTGAGACGGAAACTATCGCTGACATTCATATCTGTCGTGATAAGATCAGTCATGGTGGGCGCACGCCGGCACTGATGGCAAAAGTTGTACGATGCGGGGCTAACAACAGTGACTTTACGGTTCGGAAATTGAACCAAATCCCAGCTCTGCCCCAGGCGGGAATAACTTACTGCCATTCTTGACTGAACGTTAAAGGCACATTTCGTGATAAGAAAATAGAAAGGGACTAGTGGAGCTATTAGTTATATGTGCAAAGTTACTTGGTGGTTAAGGCAAAGAAGAAGAGATACCGCGAAAACACTTGGGAAGTCCATTTCTTCTCAGCAGGTAGACAAATAGGCAACAAACAGTTTAACGGACCCTGCGCTCAGCAGCAGGAGATTGAACTGGAATACGAGAGAACATTTCGGACGAGGAAGACGCAGATATCTCAACGGCATGCGGGTATTGATGCAGTAGGTATGGATCGAATTTAAGCTCCTAGAGCTCTTTACCCGTGTTTAGAGCCGGAACATTGGTGCAACCCCTGCGGCGGCGGATTTAGCAAACTCATTTATCGTGTACTTTTATCGCCAAATTGATAACTAACTTCTTCAATTGAACCATCGAAGATCTTAAGAGCCGGAAGTGATCACGAGCGACGCTTTGTGGTCACCTCACCTTTGGAGGGTAGCGCTTTTTTGAACACAAAGGAGATATTTGAAAAATCGCACATTTCTAACATAAGCTTTCCAGTTTAGGCTTGGAGAGGAAACATTGAAAAAGTTCAAGCGGATTATATTGGTTCATTTGCGATGACATATTTTTTAATATTCAACATATTTTGGTATAAAAGGAAATAAGGTAAGAATCAGCAACAGCGCTCTTGAGGAGGGAAGGGGGAGGGGCGAGGTAGGCGTGGAACAATGTTGAACACACAAAATCGTCCCACTCATCGCTGAATGGCAGCTATCCTTGGTCTCGTAAAATAGCCTTGAACTCAACGCGTTTCATAGGGTAATCTAATCTCAAAAAGGGTTCGGAAACCTTTCTGAGAATCTTTGATTGAATCAAATGTTCGCTAAGAAAACGAGTTTTTTTTAATCCGGGCAACAGTCCGTGGGGGTATGTAAATAGTTAGGGTGATAAGGAGTTAGTATAGCAAAGGAGGTGAAACTCCAGTACGGGGGGTCGGGAAGGGGCATATTATCCTTGTTATCTTACCCGTAGTACTAGAGAGCACTTCTTTGGACTTTAACCCTATGGATAAGATAATAGGTAAACGACTCATTTCAAGTGCACTTTTGATAAGGACCG